CCTTTTGGCCAGTGGCTGTTTAGTTTCCCCGATGTAAGACTGATCACAGCCCTCCTGACACTGAACAGCATACACAACATTACTCTGTTTGTGCCGGGGGACTGGATCTTTGGGATGAACCAGTCTTTGCCGTAATGTATTTTGGGGTTTAAAAGCCACTGGGACGTTATGTTTAGAAAATAAACGTCTCAGTTTCTCTGATACTCCCTCAACATATGGAATGACCACTGGTCTGGGTCTGGGTTCCTCCTTTTCACCTGTTGGCTGACTGGAGTCCTGTTTGGGTTTCTTCTCTGCTTTCAGGAAGGCCCAGTTAGGATATCCACATTGCTCTAGAGCCTGTCTTGTGTAGGATTTCTCCTTCTGCCTGGCTCCTGAGCTAGTGGGGACGCTGTCTGCTCTGTGATACAGAGTCCTGATGACTCCTAACTTGTGCTCCAAAGGGTGATGGGAGTCAAACTGCAAATACTGGTCTGTGTGGGTGGGTTTGCGGTACACCTCAGTTTGCAAATGTCCTCTATCAGAGACTGAGACCTCACAGTCCAAGAAAGCCAACTTGCCATTTTTTTCATCTTCTCGTGTGAACTTGATGTATTTATCCACAGAGTTGATGTGGTCAGTAAAATGTTGGACTTCCTGAGATTTGATTTTAACCCAGGTGTCGTCAACATACCTGAACCAATGACTTGGTGGTGTCCCTGAAAAGGACGTCAAGGCTCTCTTTTCTACCTCCTCCATGTACAGGTTGGCAACAATAGGAGAAACTGGAGACCCCATAGCACACCCATGTTTCTGCCTATAATATTGCTCCCCATATGTGAAGTAGGTTGACTGCAGGCACAGTTTCAAGAGTTGACACAGTTGTTCTGTGGAAAGCGTGGTCCTGCTGCTCAGAGTGGTGTCTGATTTTAATTTTAAACTGACCACCTCTACTGCATCATCAACAGGAATGCACGTAAAGAGTGATGTGACATCAAAAGAGACCATTGTTTCATCAGTCTCCATGATGACATCCCTCACCTTATCCACAAAGTCCATGGTGTTCTGTATGTGGTGTTCTGAGCTGCCAACTAAAGGGATGAGTACAGACGCCAGATATTTGGAAACATTGTAAGTGACAGAGTTAATCATGCTAACAATAGGTCTTAAAGGTACACCTTGTTTGTGGATTTTAGGTAAACCATACAGACTAGGTGTGGCCTCCCCTGGGTACAGTCTGTGGTACAGAATACGGTCAATAGCCTTGTCCTGCTCCAAATTTTTCAGGCAATCTATTAACTTCTTCTTGTAACCACTTCCTGGATCTCTTTTCAGAGGTTCATAAGTGGTTAAGTCACTAAGGAGTGTCATAACTTTCTCATGATAGTCTTTCTGGTTCAAAATCACTGTGCACCTTCCTTTGTCTGCTGGGAGAATGATCATGTTTTTGTCCTTGCTAAGAGTGGTGAGTGCATCCCTCTCCTCTCTACTGATGTTGGAAGGTGGTGGTTTGGCATTGCAATGCCAAACCACCACCAAAAGAAACGTTTCTAGATTTTTTTGCTTTGCTTTGTTTTTTGTTTTTTTGAATGTCCAGAGGACCAAATTGAACTTTTTTGGATTTTTCTACCTGGATTATTGAGCATGCATCAGGATACTTCTAACATACATATTCTGCTTAAAGAACTCCAATATTAAATCATATATAATTAATTATGTACAATATATTTTTGTAAATTCAACTGGATTTTATTTTATTTTTTTTTGTATTCTTCTCGGGTCAGTAGAGTTTATTTTGAGACCTCTTCAGATTCTGTGGGATCAGAGAAAAAGATCAATACATGTACTGGATCCCACAGGTAGAAAACCTTTAATAATTGGCTTTAATAATATACTGAATCTGATTTTATTGTATTATATTAGAACTGAATTGGGCTTTTTGTAATTGAATTTGAGTTTGACTGTTTTGATTTAATTAGGTTATATGTAATTTAATGTGAATCAAACCTGTTTTGTTTTTTGTGTACTGACCTGGGTTGACTGTTCTTTTAAACTGAGGCAAAAAAATAAACTGAAGTAATTTAATAAATGTATTACTGAATAGTATTAAGCGTGTCAAGAATAGTTGACAGAAATGTGTGTGAACTCAAGTCCTTTTCTTTTTAGTAAGGAAAAATGTTTTGGAAAAAATAACTTTCTGCCAAGTTTCATTCAGAAATATTTGTACGTCCAACAATCGCTGCATTCTCTTAAAAACTTAATGATCACATTTACTTACCATAAATCTTTCTTTTAGTTGTTTATTTTACACATTTATTTTGCTGGTAGGCAAAATGATAGCAAAAATTGTTAAAATGTAAAACTTAAAGGTAGGTTAAAAGGATAATCTGCAGCAGGTTTTATGGGTCACTGTTTAAATTATCCTTTTAGTTAACTTTACAGTTTGTTTCTTTGGTTGTCGTTTTTTTTGCATTTTTTTGTTAAGAAATAATATTTTCAAAAGAAATCATGTAAGACATTGGATTTACAGTGAGGAAAATAAGTGTTTGAACACCCTGCGACTTTCCAAGTTCTCCCACTTAGAAATCATGGAGGGGTCTGAAATTTTCATCTTAGGTGCATGTCCACTGTGAGAGACATAATCTAAAAAACTAAATCTGGAAATCACAATGTACAGTATGATTTAAAAAAATAATAATTTATTTGTGTGTTACTGCTGCAAATAAGTATTTGAACACCTGTGAAAATCAATGTTAATATTTGGTACAGTAGCCTTTGTTTTCGATTACAGATGTCAAAGGTTTCCTGTAGTTTTCCACCAGGTTTACTGCAGCAGAGATTTTGGCTCATTCCTCCACACAGATCTTCTTTAGATCAGCCAGGTTTCTGGGCTGTCGCTGAGAAACACGGAGTTTGAGCTCCCTCCAAAGATTTTCTTTAGGTTAGGTCTGGAGACTGGCTAGTTCACTCCAGAACCTTGATATGCTTCTTACGGAGCCACTCCTTGGTTCTCCTGGCTGTGTGCTTCAGGTCATTGTCATGTTGGAAGAACCAGCCACGACTCATCTTCAATGCTCTAACTGAGGGAAGGAGGTTGTTCCACAAAATCTCACAATACATGGCCCCGCTCATCCTCTCCTTAATACAGTGCAGTCGTCCTGTCCCATGTGCAGAAAAACACCCCCAAAGCATGATGCTTCCACCCCCATGCTTCACAGTAGGGATGGTGTATTTGGGATGGTATTCATCTTTCTTCGTCCTTCAAACACGGCAAGTGGATTTAAGACTAAAAAGTTCTATTTTGGTCTCATCTGACTTCATAACTTTCTCCCATGACTCCTCTGGATCATCCAAATGGTCTTGGACAAACTAAAGATGGGCCTGGACGTGTGCTGATTTAAGCAGGGGAACCGTCCGTGCCATACATGATTTTAAACTATGACATCTTAATGTATTGCCCACAGTAACCATGGAAACAGTGGTGCCAGCTCTCTTCAGGTCATTGACCAGCTCCTCCCGTGTAGTTCTGGGCTGATTCCTCACCTTTCTTAGGATCATTGATACGCCACGAGGTGAGATCTTGCATGGAGCCCCAGTCCGAGGGAGATTGACAGTCATGTTGGGCTTCTTCCATTTTCTAATAATTGCTCCAACAGTTGATGTTTTTTCACCAAGCTGCTTGGCAATTGCCCCGTAGCCCTTTCCAGCCTTGTTGAGGTCTACAATTTTGTCTCTGGTGTCTTTGGACAGCTCTTTGGTTTTAGCCATTTTAGTAGTTGGAGTCTTACAGATTGTGTGGGGTGGACAGGTGTCTTTATGCAGCTAACGACCTCAAACAGGTGCTTCTAATTTAGAATAATCAGTGGAGTGGAGGTGGACTTTTTAGAGGCGGACTAACAGGTCTTTGAGGGCCAGAACTGATTGGCAGGTGTTCAAATACTTATTTGCAGCAGTAACACACAAACAAATTATTAAAAAATCTTGCATTATTATTTCTGGATTTTTTTTTTAAATTTAGATTATGTCTCTCACAGTGGACATGCACCTAAGATGAAAATTTCAGACCCCTCCATGATTTCTAAGTGGGAGAACTTGCAAAGTCGCAGAGTGTTCAAATACTTATTTTCCTCACTGTATTTTTATTAGACTTTTAGGGGTATATAATTTGAGACACAGTTTATTTATGTTCTGTGCAGAATTATTTGCATATTTGTTATTTGTTCAT